ACATGGGATATGATTCCTAAGTGGAATCCCCCTAGTACTTTCCTGAGGAAGGCACTATGGGTCTGTTCACTTAGTTCCCTTAGTTCAGGTAGGATATCTCAAGTATCCAATGATGTCGGAGCCTTCATGTGAGTTTAGTTCCTCCTGAGGAGGAACGTAAACCGATCACAGTTGTTGAGCCACATGGGATATGATTCCTGAGTGGAAGCTTCCTAGTACTTTCCTGAGGAAGGCACTATGAGTCTGCCTACTTAGCTCCCTTTCTTTGGTAAGCTTGTCTTGAAGCTTGAAGACTGGGATTGATTTCTCTTGTGTAGGGTTTTGATTAGGGCTTTGCTTAGAGATTTGATTAGGGTTTTGCATAGGGCTTTGCTTAGAGATTTGATTAGGATTTTGCTTTGGGGCTTTGATTAGGGTTTTGCTTTAGGGCTTTGCTTAGAGATTTGATTAGGGCTTCGCTTAGAGTTTTGATTAGGGTTTTGCATAGGGCTTTGTTCAGAGGTAGATTAGGGTTTTGTTTTAGGGTTGTTTAGGGTCTTGCTCATGGGTAGTTTCTTGTTTTTTGGATAGGAGTTTGCCAGGCTGGTTAGCTTTCTCTTTGTGTTGATTGACTTGTGTGGTGATGTGCTGCATTAGACTTAGGGGTTCATCTAGATATTTCTGAGATAGGTGCATCTTATAAATAGGACCTGTGTGCATGAGAAGTTGAGGTGGTCCTCCTTCTGCTTGATTGTTATTGAGTGGCTTTGCTTGCTGGTATTTGGTAGAGCTGAGCTCCCTTACCTCGGTGGTTTGTGGCCTTTGTGCCTTGCTTGTTTGGTTGTTGCATTCATGCATATTTCCAGTATTTCTTTACTTTACAGTGATTCCTGTTTGCTGTTTAGTGCTGTTGCCATGATCCCTTAGGAGCTCTAACTTCTCTGCTGTGGAGGAGTTATGATAGACATTAGGTTGGTTAACCAGGCATGATAACATTAGGTAGATTCCCCTCTTCAACCATAGTTTTAGGGTGTCTCTTTCCTTTCTCAAAACAACAGAAAAACACTTAATAAAGGAGAAAACAAAAGTGAATTCATTTCTTCCGTTAAAAGATTTGAACAAACATCAAAACATTTTGTCCTCCTGGACTGTGAAAACCCTTGGTTAAGGTGCATTTTCCCATAAAAAACACTTGAACAGCTTGTGTCGGGCGTAGTCGAACTACATTTGCTCTGATCTTCCATGCCGTGTGGAAGTACGTAGGCACAGGACGCGATGTCCTGGCGAGCAACCTTCCCCCCGTCTAGACGTAGGTAGTCGAACTACGTTGACTCTGACTTTCCCATTGCACGAGGGAATACGTAGGCCCAGAACAGCGTATGTTCTGTCGAGTCCTGTCCTTTTCTTTTCTTTTCAGACTGACCACTAGCGTAGATAGATAAACACACCCTTTTCCTTATAAACACCAAGCGTGGATCCCGTCGAGTACGACGGACGTGAGGGGTGCTAATACCTTCCCCTTGCGTAACCAACTCCCGAATCCAGGTTTTGGTTGCGGTGACCATACCTTTTCCCGTTTTTTGCGAGGTTTACTTCGAGCGTTTCCTTTCCCTCCGTTGGGATAAATAACGCACGGTGGCGACTCTTCTGTCAGTCGGCGCCGATTTTCGCAGTAGCGACACTAAGACCTGAAGCAAACATTTTATAAGGAGCCATTGACATAGGACTAGTACTAGGTACTAAGCCTATATCAAACTCCATCTCTCACTCCGGCAGAAAATCACTGATGTCATCTGGAAACACTTCTGGGAAATCGCACACCATCCATAAGTTATCAATCACAACTTTGATTTTAGCCTTCATAGAAGCTAATATCATAAAGTGAAAGTATGTGTATCATAAAAGGATTTCCCTAGAAAGGGATTTGACTGGTTGAAGACGCAAGGGTTATGAAGATTATGTCTGGTCTGAATCCGTTTTATCGTCAACTGGTGAAAAGTTTATTGTTAACATTTCAAAAGAATTTAACAAGGTTGGAAGTAGAGATTATATGAAGGTGCATATTCATGGATGTTATTGGCTTCTATCCAACTATAATTGTTGATAATATACCTCTTATGAAGGTTATTGCACAAGAATTACCAATGGAGTGTATGAAAATTGGCCCAGCAAAGGACTACTGCCCATTGCAAACTTAAGTTTCAAGTTTGCAATTCTGAACTGTATTAGAGTCTCTAACAGGGGACCTACAAAACCACAATTCAGGTATCACTACTTCTCATGGTCGGACATCATCGTAAAGGGCCGACCTCGACTTTGAAAGAGTTCTCGACCAATGTACGTCTGAGAAGCCTTGGGGAAACTATTTTGGGCCGATCAAATGGCAAACACAAAGGTCCAAACATGTCTCAACCCAATCAGAAATTTCCAACATATATAGTCAGCACACGAAAAATTCAAGGTACGTTTTCTAATCTCCACTTTTCATTATACTCATCTTGGACTCTAAACTGATTTGGGCATTGGAGTGCTAACCTTAAATAACCATCCCGCGTGACATTATTGAAGATCAAAATTGCGAATTCTAGAGTCCTACATCATCAATCAACATCAATTCTGGTTCTACAACAAAACACTTTTTTAAAAAAAAATTGGTATCTGCCACTAAAACCGACTAATTAAAATGGATAAATCTCACCGTTTGCTAGCGGATATTAATTTAAAGTCAAAGCAACTCTCTATGTATTGTTAATTTATTAGCTTATTTTTTAATATTACTTTAATTATTTTGACAAGCAACCTAGTGGCTGGATTTCGAACTTTCAAGTTGAATAAATGAGATTTTGCAAGTTCGAACACATACCATTGCATTTGATGTCCCTACATAATCACCAACAAACATTATTAACAAGACAACATGACTTAAAAATTTTAAACAATACTTATTTTTCAAACTGAACGAATAAATTATAGAACAAGTTAATTACTCATTTAATTGACCAAAATCAATGTTTTTTTTTTTTTTAAAAATTTATAAATACACGAGAACAAAAAATTTAGAAAAATATAAAGACAATATTTAGGAATGTTACATTTATGAATGCAATATTTTCAAAAACAAAAATGACGACTAAGAAGCAATTATTAATTTTCAAAAAATAAATAAATAACATTATAGTATGTTACTATGTAATATTGAAAAGATATAGCAAAAATCAATACTTTAAACATTCAAGGATTCAATTTGTTGATGCTTTTAAATTTTATATTTTTGCATCTAACCAAATTATATTGTGATTTCATTTTTGATGTTTTTAAATTTTATATTTTTGTATCCAACCAAATTATTGTGATTTCATTTTTTAGGCTAGTCCTTAAATTATATCATCAAATATTTATTTAATGTGATTTAATTTAATGAATGTATGAAAATTCATTTAAAAAAAACCTCATAAATTTATCATAAGAAAATGTTTGGAAAGTTTTCAGGTTATATTAAAAAAATGTCTCAATATTTTTTTTATAATAGTTATTTATTTTGTGTTTTTAATATAGGATTCTCAAGTGTTTTTTATTTGTTCTGTGATTTACAATAGACTACCCTACATTTAAATATAAATATAAATATATTGAATGTATTTATCATCTATTTGTCGGTTTGGAGGAGAAATGAATGAAAGGCTGTAGGGAAAATAGAGTAAAGAAAAAAATTAAGATAGTTTTAGTGAGATTGATAAATGAATGTTCATGATTAACATGATTTAATTTTCTAAAATATTTTAAACAAAAATTGAATTAATTTTCTATTTTTTATTTAAACTATTTAAAATTATAATTCGATATAATTTTTAGTTTCTCTCTTAAAAAGATTTTGTGTTATGAATAGAGCTGGAAATGAGTCGAGTCGAGTCGAACTCACCTCAGCTCGGCTCGACTCGTTAAGAGTTGTCCGAGTTCGAGTTCGAGTTTGACACAAATTTTTTTAGCTCAAATTCGACTCGTTATAAGTTCACGAACAATTCGGCTCAACTCATTAGGTTCATCTCATTAGGTTCAGCTCACATGATTCACGGACTTAAAAACTATTTTTTTAAATATATATATATTTTTAGTATATTTGACATTTTAAATACATATATTTTTTAAAAATAAAATATTAAAATAAAATAAAAGTTACCATATTGAAATTTAACTTTATCTTCGAAATCTAATAATTCAAAATCTACACAACTTTTAAGAGAGTCTAATTCAAAAACTACTAAATTGAAGATTAAATTTGTCTAAGATTTGGAGTAAATATTTAAACCTAATCTTAAAGACAGTATAATTCTTCTCATATGTAATCGAGTTGACTCATGAACCTAACGAGTCGAACTATGTATAGTTCAAGTTCACCTCATTTAGTTAACGAACTTAATTTTTCACTCATACTCAACTCATTTGGTTCATGAACCTAGTTCAACGATTTAATTGTCGAATCGAATTCCGAACTATTTTCGAATTGATTCGATTCATTGACAGCCCTAGTTATGAATACAGATAAATCTCTCTCTATATATTCAATTTCAAAAACTATTCTCTTTTTTCCATTCTTTTTACCAATATTTGTCGGTTTCTCTCTCCCTCCAAACATACAAACAAAATTTGAGTGTTTTATAATTTCACAAATTTTCATGAGGCCCCACTTATTAAAATAGTCAAAAAGTTACAATAATTATTAATTGTTTTTAATATATAATTTTTTAGAGTTCTTTTTATAATAAAGACTATAGAGTTACTTTTAAAATTTAAATGCAAAAAGTATATAAAAAACAATTTTTAATATTTTAAAATGTTTAAAAGTACTGTTTTAAATATTATTTTTATATTGAATTTCTTTACAATAACATTTAAGGCGTACATTAGAATTTTCCTATTTAAAGGTAAAGCATAACCCTCATTTTAAAATATGATCTTATTTCTTCCATTATTTCTATCAAAAAATGATTTTTTGAATTGGCAAAGATAGAGTCTAAGAAATCATGGGTCGTAAAAAAATAGAGATGAAATTGGTGAAGAACAAAGATGCTAGGAATGCCGCATTTTCTAAACGAAGGCAAGGTCTCTATAAGAAAGCAAGTGAGTTATCAGTTCTTTGTGGTGCTAGAGTTGGATTGCTTGGATTTAGTCCCGGGGGTAATCCATTTGCTTTTGGTTCTCCATCTTTTCAAGTCGTGATTGATGAGTATTTTCATGAAGGAGACGTTGAGCCTTTTGAAAATGAAGAGATCGACAACCTCAACCAAGAACTCAAGGCTTTGAAAAAAGAGATAAAGATGGAAGAAAAAAAGATAGAAAAAATTGATCAATGTAAAGTCCATATTGTCCCTGTTGATCTTAGTTTGAAGGAACTTCAAAAAGTGAAGGCTTCATTGAATGAGATCCAAGGTGAAATTGAGGCAGCCTCATCTCTACTCCTCCTTGCAAAGAAACCTCTGTTCATTGTTCAAGGTTAATTAAATTATAATATATAAGCCTCATTGTATTTTTAGGTTTAAAATAAGTAAAAAAAAATCTAATACTATGAAATCTTATTATTATAGTAGAGATTTATATTATCCAATTTAAGAAAATTTATTATAATAATTTGACTTTGTTTCGATTTATGTCTAAAATTTTAGAGTTTAACATCATTTATCAATCTTGAAATAAACCTAATTAAAATTAACTTTCTATAGTGATTTGATTTATTTCCTGAATTTGAATATTTTCCACCTTCCTATATATACCTTCTATGTTCTCTATATTTCTATTCTCTATCTTTATCATAAACTTTCTTTCTATGTTGCTTTTCTTTTTTATAAATAAAATTTATTTATTTTGTATCTAATAACAGATATAATTTAAAAGATCCATTTTCTTTGCTCCCTTTTCTTTCAAATAAAAAAATATAAAATGTATTTGATTCAAATTTCTTCCAAATACATTTGACTATATATTTACATTTAAGATGAAAATACAAGAGATTGTAACAAACGGATTGAGAATTATACTGGCATGTGATTAGTGTATGTAATAAAGTTTTTTTTTAAAAATTTTTAAAAAGGTAAATAAAATATAGACTTCAATCTTTAAAATTTGTATCTAAATATTTTTTTTTCAATTTTTTTCTTTCAAAATACTTCATTTTTAAAATTTTTTTCTTCAAAGTATCTAAGTTAGAGTTTTTGATTATCTAAGGGCGTCATTTCAATTGGCGACTCTTTGTTAAAGTCTAAGGGTGTTGACAATTAGATTAGAGACACCTCATGCAGTCTCCAATCCAATTGGCACCTTGGTTATATACTTAATACCCTGTCGCCAATTTATCTGGAAACATGGTGTATTTTATAATTTTTTTACGAAAAATAAACAATATTATCATTAATTAAAAAAACTATTACATAAACTAATGTTGGCGACCGATTGGGTCATACCGGCTGTTGTACCTCGAAAAATACGATCATCGCGATGGACGCGGAAAAAACGTTCGAACAGAGTCCCCATCGAACTTTATTCATTCCAAGGAAGGAATAGGAAAATATCGATAAAACCTTTAAAGAGATAAGAACATGGTCATCGCAACCAATATTCTAGGTCCGGGAGTCGGTTACGTAAGAGGGAAGGTATTAGCACCTTCTACGTCCGTTGTACTCAACGGGAACTTCTTGATTCAATTCGTGAGAGAAGTTTGCTACGTTTGTTTATCTTCTAAAGGAATTGCTTACTATGGGAAAATGGGTGGTTATTAAGATAGGGTGCTCGCCAAGGATTGGGGCCCTTGTGCCTACGTATCTTCACTTGTAAGAAGTGGAAAATCAGAGCGCTCGTAGTTCGTGAGACTACGGGTAAAGGAGGGAAATTATGCTCGCCAAGATCATCACAATCTTGTGCCTATGTATCTTACATTCAGAAGAGAATGAAGAATCAGAGCGTCCGTAGTTCGGACTATGGTTGAAAGGTTTTGATCGCACTGGGGCGAGAGAATATGTTTTGGATAACAGGTTGGTCTCGATTGCACTGGAGCAAGAGAAAGGGGAAGTTAGTTGTTAGTGTGCTCGTCAAGGATAGAGATCCTCGTGCCTACGTATCCTCATTAGGGAATGAGGAATCAGAGCATCCATAGTTTGACCTACTATGGTAAAAGGTTTGAAGATGGTACGAATGACGATTACTCAAAGCTTAAGAAATACTTCTCGGACCCAAGTAATCGGGAAAGTGAGTCAAAGACTTGACTATCTCTCTTTTTCATCGTGAAAATAAGGTTGTATTTGAACGGAACGAGTGTTTAGGTCGCATTCTAACTGCTAAATGTTGGCTTGTCTGCTCACTAGGGGAGGCTGAAGCACGAGTTCATATGCGCGGAAGAATGGACTAAACAATGTCCTTGATAAAAGGTGTATTGAATTGAACGAGAGTTTAGGTCGCATTCTAACTTCTAAACGTTAGCTTGTCTGCTCGCTAGGGGAGGATGAAGCACGAGTTTGTTATGCGCGGAAGAAGCGACTAAACAATGTTCTTTGGGAAAGTGTATTTGAATTCTGGATCGCACGGGGGTGAGGAAATAGTATTTGACTGGTTAAGTATTTGCTTTGGAAAAGAGGACAGGTTTGAATAGGTTTTAGGGTTTTGGTCGCACGGGGGTGAGAAAACGAAGTTTGATGTATCAGATGCTTTGATAAAGGTGATGATTACCCGAAGCTTAAGAAAGACTTCTCGGACCCAAGTAATCAGGAGAGTGAACCAAAGACTTGGAGCTCTCTCTTTTTCAACCTCAAATGCGAAAGGATAGGATGGTTCGAATAAGTTGATCGGATGATGATTACTTGAAGCTTAAGAAAGACGTCTCTACCCAAGTAATTGGGAGAGTGAACCAAAGACTTAAAACTCTCTCTTTTTCATCTAAGTGTGAAAGGATTTCGGTATAGTTAGGGTGTATCGGATGACGATTACTCGAAGCTTAATAAAGATTTCTCATACCCAAGTAATCGGGAGAGTGAACCAAAGACTTGAAGCTCTCTCTTTTTCATCTACATGGTGAAAGAGTTGGATATGGTTTAAATAGGTTAATCGAATGACAATTACTTGAACCTTAAGAAAGACTTCTAGGACCCAAGTAATCGGGAGAGTGAACCAAATACTTGGAGCTCTCTCTTTTTCAACCCAAATACGAAGGAATTGAGTACGGTTTAAATAAGGTGATCGGATGACGATTACTCGAAGCTTAAGAAAGACTTCTCGGAGCCAAGTAATTGGGAGAGTGAACCAAAGACTTGGAGCTCTATCTTTTTCATCCCAAAGAGTGGTTATGTTTGGAATGTATTTTGGACGAATGAGAGATGATTAAAGAATGTTTTAGCGAATGAGGATTACTCAAAGCTTAAGAAAAACTTCTCAAACTTTAAGTAATCGAGGATGAGTCAAAGACTTGACTCTCTCTCTTTCTCATATAATATTATGAAAGATGTTTGATATAATTAGAGTGTTTTAATCGGATGACGATTACTCAAAGCTTAAGAAAGACTTCTCGGACCCAAGTAATTGGGAGAGTCAACCAAAGACTTGGAACTATCTCTTTTTCATCTACGTGTTTAGGAAAATAGATTTGAATTTGTTTATCGTTTTAGAAGACAATTGTTCGAACTTAAGAAAGACTTATCGGACCCAAACAATTGGGAGAGTGAACCAAAGACTTGAAACTCTCTCTTTTTCATCTTTATCGAAATTGCGTTTAAGAAGTTATTAAGTATTTTAATTTGATTTGAGAAAATACTCGATGTGAATCGAGGTTTGAAATTTGAGTTTTAATCGTCACTCCAACTTGAAAGTTTAATCTTCTGGTGCAGCAAAATTGACTTGAATTTATCCTAGCGTCATTCAAACATGGTTTTCGCAACTAGATTTGCGAAGAGCGGACCGAAATAAAATGCCATGTTGTGGATGCGTCACACTGAGATGTCGTGAGGGAAAGGCAATGGTGTCGCGGCGATTTTGAAGGCTTTTTGATGGTGGCGATGGAGGTTTGTAAGGAGAAGATGGTGAGTTTTCCGGTAAGAGTTTTTCGAATGGGGATGAACAGGAATGGGTTTGTGATGATGCGTTTTGAAGAAGGAGAAGGAAGCTCGATGGCGGCTGATTTTTTTTCCGATTGAGGGAAAACAGAAAAATAGAGTTGGCGGCGGATTTTGATGTGATGAAGGTGAGGAAATGAATGTCGCGGCAGCGGCGACTTTCTTTGAGTTTGAGGGGAAGATGAAGGAGACAGAGAAGGAGAGGGTTCGTGGCGACTTGGGTTGAATTGGAAGGGATAGCTCAGAGGGGGAAGTTTGGGTTACGGCGGCTGGTTTGAGAGGGAAGAAGAGGATGATAGATTTTAGGGTTTGTCGGCTATGTGTTTCTCAAAATTGGGGGAGATGAACAGTGATGGATACCCTATTTATCCCAAATTTCCCAACCCTAATCCTCTTATCCACCCGTGTTTCTTTTTTTCATTTTCTATTTTTTTAATTTTTTAATTATTCTGTTTTTAATTAATAATTAATAAATTCTAACTCCTAATTTAAATCCTATTCTAACTAATAAATTCAAATTCTATAATTAAATAATTTTAATTCTAACTAATTAACTAATCCTAATTCTAACTAATTAATTAATTCTAATTCTAACTAACTATAATTAAAATCTAATCTAATTTCTTATTAAAAAATTAAATTCTAAATTCTAATCTTGTTTAAAATTCTAATTCTATTTTATTTTTAAACTCTAATTTCTAATTAATTAAATAATCTAATTCTATTTTCTAAATAAAATTCTAATTAATTTCTAGCTTAAATTCTAAATTCTAAATTCTAATTAAGTTCTAATTTAATTTTCTAAATCTATTCTAATTTAAAATCCTAGTTTAAATTCTAATCTAAATCTAATTTAAATTCTATTATAATTAATTAATTCAAATTCCTAATTAAAATTCTAATTAAAAATCTAAATTCTAATCTTATCTTATTTCTAACTAAAAAAACTAATCTTGTTTCTAATTAAAATTTCTAAATTCTAAATTTTAAATATATTATATTAACATATTATAAAAAGTGAAATTATAAAACAAAAATAATGATAAATATAAAAACTGCCACGACTCACAAATTCAATGTATTAAAGTGATAAATATAAATACGCTAAAAAAATACAAGTCCGAAAAATATCAATTATTCTAGACATTTTGACGAAAAATAAAATGGGTAAAAATGAACAAAAGTCAAGCGACAAATGTGCTTGAAAAATTAGTTTATTTTCGCTGAAAAATACGTTACGTTGTACAAGCGATGCAAGTTGAAAATAAAGTCGGGCGAATAAAAAAATTTTTAAAACGGGTAGGACAAATTTGGGGCATGACACCGACCACCGGTTCCACATCTCCTGAACACCCTAACTTGTTGCACTCGTTCCCATCGTTGTTGATTCACGCCACGTGTTTGAG